CAACTTGGAGCTGACTTTTCTTGTGCTTTTGGGTCAGTAGTGGTGTACATCTTGGAGTTCTGGCATGGATATCTTCTGCGTCTAGTAAGCACCTTACTGTGCTCACAGAAACCTAGTGTCTGTTGCCACCAAGTCTTGCTGCAGGTCTTTTGCAGTCACTCAAGGGTCTTTCACAACCTGGTGAGAGCACACTGATAAGTATAATAAGTATATATAACCAATCTATATATGGTGATTACTTTAAAATTGCAGTGACAAGGTAAAACAGTGTAGATATAAAATATACACAAACAGGCAATTTTGCCCTCAATTCAGTATAAAACCTAAAATATAAACAGAGGATAGACCATAGTGAAATCTGTATAATTGATATAAAAACAAATTAATACAAATTGGTCCCACTCACATATTGCTGAGCTTGGTTTGAGGGAACAAACGAAGGTAGTAGAAAATGTAACCATAAAGAATTTATTAACACAATTGATATAAAATCAAATCAAGTAAAAGATCTCTCAGCACAGCACTAACGCGTTTCGACCAAAAGGGTCTTTATCAAAGTACTCATGTCCTTCACGCTGTTCTTCACAATTTAAATCCAAAAAGGCAAAAATGTTTCCATCCACAGGGACTTCCACAATAATAAAAGCCTACAGAATTATTGAGAAAATTATTAGATTTCTACCACAACTGTATCCAGGTCCACTGGGAGTGCATTTGTGAGTTTTTATCTTGTGAGTGCAACTTTAATACATTTTCATGTTGTAATTTCCATCTGCACTATTTGGCTTTTTTTGCTTCTTTCAAGTGTAATAAGACCATCACCTCTTGCAGTTATCTCATCCCATATATTCCATCTATGTGCCAGATGTCATGTATCCTCCTGTGAGTTTTCCTTATTACTTTGCATGTCAAGCCTTATGTAAAATTTGATTACACTACTTTCATTCTGTGTTTTCGATAGATACCACAGACTACGATTTCTGTTCTCTTGGGAGGTGTCACTCCTATTGATTGAAATTCCTACTTATTTTATTTGTCTAATTTAATTTAACTAATGAAGTCCTTGATTAGTTGCTTCGGGTGTGCTTAAGGCAACACCTGTTTTGCTTAGTTGTGCTGTTGTGAGTGATTCTGTTCAGGGGTTGAATCCTTTTGAGACTGGAAAAGTAATTACATTTCCAGGGGGGTGGTGCCTGACAGCCAACCGAGTAAGTCGCACATGGCTAAGGCTCCTCAGATTTATCCTGCAATATAGCTGATTCACTGGCAAAATTACCCACTATCTTACCTGATAAAACTCTAACTACTTGACGAATACCTGCTGTGTACCTGGTTCAGGTTTTGAAAGTGGATGCATGTGCTTATCGGAGTGGACTGTTTTGATGCCTACGAGGCAGATTGAAAGCGGATGACATGGCCGATCCTCAGGCGAAATTTGGTTCCAGTCTCATTTGGGCCGTCTCCTCTTTCCCCTTTGGACTGGCGGGGGTTTTCCCGGTCCCCACTGGTGTGCTCCCTGGCCCGCTCGCACTGACTTTTCTGACCAAACGTATGCTAGACGCCTGAGACCCACTCAATAAGATGGCCAAATTTGAGTGGAGTGCCCCGACACATGCATTTCTCCACGCGAGTGGATCTGCTTTTGCTGGCATTTGAGCGCCTATGCACCAGGTTCTGGGATAGAATAAGCCACAGAGCTGTGAATACTCTACCTGAGGGTCCGAGCATGACAGCCCAAAGCATGGTGCAGGGTGGCTGGGATCCAGCAGGGTTCTTACAACTGCTCTCAAGCGCAGCACGAACAGTGAAGCGGAGAAAACGGGGGAGGAAGCTAACACAGTGTCGTGCTCAACCTACCAGTGGATACCGCCACTGCTCCCACATTCAGCACTCCAGAGGGGGGCTATGTCTACAAGCGCTTTCCGCACGGTCGGAGAGCTCTTACTCGTCAGGGCCAACAGCGTGCAACAAGCATGCCCAGACGCCTGGTTCCCGATAGCAGGAGACATGGAGGAATAACGCAGAACTACACCCTTCTATGGAGTAGGTGGGGAGCCCCTCTACTGCTCAATGGACAGGCATACTCTATGTTGTTAATCAACCGTCTACAGGCATCGGCTGAGCAGCAGTGTGAGTGGTCTGCAGATTCAGTGCAACTCTGTTTATTTTTAAGGGTGAAGCTGTGAGTCTCCAGGCATGGTGCATACTCATCTTAGTACTCACACTCCATTGCAGCTTATACCAAGTGGCATACTCTGGTTATTCTTTGTTTATTCATTGTTTTTCTTGCATAAGTTTTAACAAGCCTTCTGATAGCCGTCTAAAGCGAATTACCTAGCATGATTACTCATATTCACATAATATTCAGTGTCTAGAATATCTACTATGATTGATTATTTAGATCGTATTATGCACTTAGACATGTGAGACCATCCTGATCTATAATATAAAATTGTGATCCATACTCTACATGCCATGTAATGCAAAATCAACCAAGGTATATGACAATATGCGATTTAGTTACATAGTTACATAGTTACATAGCTGAAAAGAGACTTGTGTCCATCAAGTTCAGCCTTCCTCACATTTGTTTTTGCTGTTGATCCAAAAGAAGGCAAAAAACCTAGTCTGAAGTGCTTCCAATTTTGCAATAAACTAGGAAAAAATTCCTTCTTGACCCCAAAATAGCAGTCAAATGTCTCATTGGATCAAGCAGCTATTACCCCACTAATTAGAAATTAAATCCCTGTGTGTTATGTTTTTGTAAGTATTTATCCAATTGCAGTTTAAACATCTGTATGGACTCTGACAAAACCACCTCTTCAGGCAGAGAATTCCATATCCTTATTGCTCTTACTGTAAAAAAAACTTTTCTTTGCCTTAGTTGAAATCTCCTTTATTCCAGTCTAAATGTGTGACCTCGTGTCCCATGTATAGCCCTGTTTATAAATCGATTTCCAGATAATGGTTTGTACTGGCCCCGAATATATTTGTATAATGTTATCATATCACCTCTCAGGCGCCGTTTTTCCAAACTAAAGAGATTTACATTTTTTAACCTTTCTTTGTAACTAAAATGCTCCATTCCTTTTATCAATTTTGTAGCTCGTCTCTGCACTTTATCTAGTGCCATGATATCCTTTTTTAGATTTGTTTTAATCTGTTTAACTTATTATGATGGCTCTTGTGGCACTAAAAGATTATTTGTACACCTAAGCACAACAAAAATAAAGAATTATTAAAACATTTTTTTTTAAAAAGAAGTTGTATTTCCAGTTGAATTTGGGGAAACCACTTGGAGCATTCATTGTGTTGAGCTGTTTCAATTGATTTTGTTTGATTTGTTCATTTCAAACAGCTGAAAATCTGTAAAAATTTGAATAAACCTGATTTTCATTAGAGGTTGAATAATTTTGATTACAACTGTTTGTCAGGTTAGGTACGTTCATTTTACGCTAAACTGAAGTCAAGTTTCAATTGCAAAGGGGACAATTTTGCTGGCCTCATTTAACTACATTTTCCCAATGTTTCATGGTATAAAAGTGTCACATTACTTACTTCTCTTTCATAGGTTACTCTCTTATACGTGATAACAAGAATGGCTATCTTACCTAGGTCTATATCATGGGTTGTCAACCTGGTCCCTACCCCCCACTAGTGGGCGTTTCAGGATTCCAGGTGGGCGGTAGGGATTTCGGTGGCTAAATCCTTTTTTTGAGAGGATTTCTCCTTTTTAGAGTGCAGGAGTTTCTGTTTCCTGTACCCGGTCGGACTGACAGGAAGGTCCACACTGAGCGTGCACCTTCCTATCACTCCAGCCGGGCACCGCGGACAGCAGAGCAGCTCGGCCACGCTACAGGGGAGGGGGTAAAAAGAGAGTGTGGGGGATAAAAAGAGGGGGAGGGTAAAAAGAGAGTGGGGAGTAAAAGAGTGGGGGTAAAAAGAGGAGGGTAAATAGAGGGGAGGAGGGTAGAAAGAGGAGGGAGGGAGAGTAGAAGGGAGGTAAGAAGGGGGTAGAGAGAGAGTAAAAAGAGGGGAGGAGAATATAGAAGGGAGGGTAGAAGAGGAGGAGGGAGTAAGAAGGGGGTAGAAGAGGGAGGAGAGAAGGAGAGGAGGAGTAGAGGGAGGAGGAGTAGAGAGGGAGGGAGTTAGAAGGGGAGGAGGAGTAAGGGGAGGGAGGAGTAGAAGGGGAGGGAGTAAGAAAGGGGGTAGAAAGAAGGGGAGGGGTAAAAAAAGAGGGGAGGAGGGAGTAGAGGAGGGAGGGTAAGAGGGAGGGAGTAGAAGAGGGGTAAGAAGAAGGAGGGGGTAAGAAAGAGAGGGGGGAGTAAGAGGGGTGCCATATGCGATACGCAGGGGATGTCAATTAAAAGTTAATGACACCCCCAGTTGAGATCGCATATCGCAGTGCGATCTGCAAGTTCACACAGAATCGGATCGCACTAGTGTGAACCACTATGCGATCCGATTCTGCTGCGGATAAAAAAAAAAGTCATGTGCGTGTTTAGTGCAGATGAGGTGCAAATTCAGCCATACAAACTGTTTTGGGAAATGCCTCACTACCTATGATTGGCTTCCTGGGGGGGCTCAATCTGAATACGTCCGAGACCATCCTTAATTTTACCATACCATACAAACACATGCTAACAAAGCCATCCTACAACACACACTACACGCAGCCATCCTACAACACACAGATATAACAAGAGTACCAGTAAATTTACACACCCCTGATACTACCTTACTCTTTTTTTAATTTAAACTTGGGTAAAAAGTATACCACTGCAGTGTGACTCATCCTGACATTCCGACGCTGAACTCTGCACTATCATACGTGCATTCATTACGTACTATACTTACGGTACCGGTATTTCCCTACTACGGTATCCCTAATGGAATCAAAGCAAAAGCGTGCAGCATATACAGCTGGTTTCAAGTTAAAGGTTGTGGAATATGCCAAGCAACATGGAAATAGGGCTGCAGCAAGGCATTTTGGAGAGCCACCAACAGAATGTACAATACGAGAGTGGGGTAAAATGGAAGAAAAACTCAAGACATTATCAAAAACAAAATGCAATTTTCGCAGCGGTATTGCTAAATGGCCAAAATTAGAAGAACGGGTGAAGGAATTTGTACTTAATCATAGAAAAGCGGGCATTGCATTATCAACAAAAATGATCATCATTCAAGCAGTGAAAATCAGCAAAGAGTTGTAAATACAAGATTTCAAAGGGACAGCATCATGGTGCCAAAGATTTATGAAGAGGCACGAGCTTCGGATGCGAACAAGAACCAGGATTGCCCAGCGTATGCCAGAAGATTATGAAGAGAAGATAATAAATTTTCATTCATTTATTATCAAACAAAGGAAGAGACAAAATTTTTAAATTGGTCAAATCGGCAACATGGATGAAGTACCACTCACTTTTGATGTTCCTTCAAATAAAACTGTTGAAGCAAAAGGTGCCAAGACAGTAACAATTAAAACTTCAGGGCATGAAAAAAATCGTTATACTGTGGTCCTTGCTGTCACTGCAGACGGAAACAAGCTGCCACCATTGGTCATTTTTAAAAGGAAAACTTTTCCTAAGGAGAAGATTCCAAGTGGCATACAGGTGCATGTTCATCCCAAAGGTTGGATGGACGAAGAAGGCATGAAGCTTTGGATCAGAAATGTGTGGGAGAAGCGCCCAGGTGCTTTGTTAAAGAAGCCATCCTTGTTAGTACTGGACTCATTTAGATCTCATCTTACAGAACCAACAAAGAAAGAATTTCAAATGTGCAAAACAGAAGTAGCAGTCATTCCAGGAGGACTTACATCACAATTGCAGCCATTGGATGTTTCCATTAACAAGCCCTTCAAAGCCTTCATGCGTGAAGAATGGAATAAATACATGTGTGATGAAAGCCAACATGAAAGTACAAGTTCTGGGAGAATGAAAAGACCTGGCATTTCAAAAGTGTGTCAGTGGATAAAGACTTCGTGGGACACAGTTAAAGAAGATATTATTATCAAATCTTTTAAGAAATGTGGCATAAGCAATGCTTTGGATGGTGAAGAAGACGAGCTGATTTATGAAGACAGTAGCAGTGAAAGCAGCAGTGTTCAGTTCAAAGATATTGAAGATAGCAGTGAAGATGAAGAGTTTCTTGGTTTCCCAGATAGCAGCGATTTCTGAGTAAACTTTTGTAAAAACATATAATATCCAAGTTTCTTTGTTAAAACAGTTGCTTTTACTGTCATTTTACGTTATTTACCTTATAAGTGTTAATAATATTAACAGAAAAAAGTTCTGAGCTACCCTTATTTTGCTTCAAAGTTCTTTATTTGAAATTTAAGGTTTTTTTCCTGCCGGTGCGTGTTATACGCCGATAAATACGGTACTTTCAGCCGCTGGGGAGAGGGGGTAACAAGCTCCTCTCCCATGCATCCTTTCAGCCGCTGGGGAGAGGGGGTAAAAAGCTCCTCTCCCATACATACTTTCAGCCGCTGGGGAGAGGGGATAACAAGCTCCTCTCCCTGACACTCTCTCTGCTGTTGGAGGGGGAGACCGACTGTCTCCCCTTTCAATAATTTGTCCTGTCGCTGGGGAGAGGTGATAACCGGTTCCTCTCCCTGGAACACTCTCTGCTGTTGGAGAGGGGGACCAACTGTCTCCCCTTTTAATATATTGTCCTGCTGCTGGGGAGTGAGACCGACTGTCTCCGCTTCCTGCAGGACACACTGCCGCTGGGGAGGAAGGACTGCACCTTCCGCTCCCTGGGACTCACTGGACTGCTGGGGAGAGGGACCAACTGTCTCCTCTCCTAAGGACACACACTGCCGCTGGGGAGGAAGGACGGCATCTTCAGCTCCCTGGGAAACATACTGCCGCTGGAGGGGGGGGAGGGGAGGACAGCACCTTCGTCTTCCTGTAACTCACTGGACTGCTGGGGAAAGGGACCAGCTGTCTCCTCTCCTAAGGACACACACTGCCGCTGGGGAGGAAGGACGGCACCTTCAGCTCCCTGGGATACATACTGCCGCTGGAGATCTGGGCCAACTGCCCAGCATCCCTGTAGGGCCGGTAGAGACACCTCGGTCCCATCTCCACCTGCCAGCTGGGTGTCTTCCCGGGACAAGTCAATAAGGTCTTCCATCTCTGGGGCTGGTTGGGACATATGTGGTACAGTACCAAGGTCCCCTGATAACAGGCTTGGTTGCTGGGGAGGAGGAACTAAACTCAATGCTTCCGGTGGTATACAGTCAATAAGCCCCATCATGTCAGAGACAGGCGGCGTTATACGTTGGAATAGGAAAACATAATCCTGTTCTAGTTCCCACTCTCGGTTGGCAAGAAAAGATAGATCTGGCTGAATGGCATTGATCTCTGTAAGGTCCCAGTTGTCTGCCCGCTCAGCTCGGATGGACCAGAAGCGAGCAATGTCAGTGTATCCGAACCAGAGACTAGTTTCAATAGTATCCCACAACAAACCAGGGCCATCGTAGTTTTCCCCTCAATGCACTTGTACTCAATCAGCCATGGGTAGAGGTGGTAAACATGCCACCGCAGAGCCCGATAGGAATCATCCAGCCACACCTCAGTCTCAACTAGCGTCTCCAGTTCGCTTACCCATTCCTCTGAGGGCTGGTTTCCCAATAACGGCATCCGCAGCTCTAGTTGTTCTGCTTGGCGCTGGTTAGTGGTCAGGATTTCCTCGCACCGGAAGGGTCGAATTTCGTCGATCTCCTCCTTCCAGAGATCGGTACGAAGCGCCACCCTCCACTCTGTCTCTCTTTCCTCTGGGATAGGATACTCCATACTGCGCATCACATCCTGTAGTCGCTGCTGGAGCCTGGCGTCAAAGTGAGATACTGCACGGCCTTCCATCTCTGAAGTAGTGCTGGTTTTCCCAAGGCTAGGAAGCCATCCCACTGCTGCCACCAATGTAATGGATCACCTGGCACCCCGACTGGGTACCTCCGTTGAAGGATGCTCCTAGCACTTCCTGAGGACTCCAAGCACTGCAGCAGACACCAAAACCACCGAACCGTAGGAGCATGTGAATGCTCTCAAGCATATGAATGTTGTATACAGCCGAATAGGAAAAACCATGCGAATAGGTTTACACTCCTAGCAGTCAAACTGGAACAGCATACAATAAATCCTCCCCAATAATGAGACGACACTTCACTTTGAGGGTTAAGCAGGAACTGACTGTACTGGCACATACAGCCTCTTTTATTCCCAATCCACAAATTTAGTACTGCCCACAGGGTCAGGGCCGGATTAACATAGGGGCTGATGGAGCTGCAGCTCCAGGCCCAGGCCCAGGCCCATGGAATAGGCCCATTTAAAAAAAAAAAAAATTCTTTTTTTTTTTACACACTACTCTTAGGTTTGCCACCTGATTGGTATTTTACTGGCACAGCCGGTATTTGAGGCTGCCTGGCCATATGCCAGTATTGCAGTAATACCGGCTATACAAATGCAGGTCATTTTCTCAGAATAAATGGAAATTACTCTGCAATACCAGCACCGGCCAGTAGGGGTCACTGTGTGTGGAGAGAGGCAGGGATAGTAAGTTACAGAATATCCCTCTCTGCTACTCACTGATCCGTGGGGGAGCAGCTACACAGCACAAAGAGTCCAGACAGCAGCTCTACAGCTCAGGTAAGTGAGGGATGGGGGGACACAGAGACATGGGAACACAGGCACTGGGACACATGGGGACACTGAGACACATGGGGACACAGACACTTGGGGACACTGGAAAACATGGGGACAGTGTCCAAATGTTTCAGTGTCCCCATGTCTCCCAGTGTCTGTGTTCCTAGTGTCTCAGTGTGCCCGGTGTCCCCATGTCTCCCAGTGTCCCTATATGTCCCAGTGTACCCATGTCTATGTCCACAACTGTCCCCATGTCTCCCAGTGTCCCCTAGTCTCCCAGTGTCCCCTAGTCCCAGTGCCTGTGTTCCCATGTCTCTGTGTCCCTAGTGTCTTAGTGTCCCCAAATGTTTCAGTGTCCCCTAGTCTCCCAGTGTCCCCTAGTCTCCCAGTGCCTGTGTTCCCATGTCTCTGTGTCCCTAGTGTCTTAGTGTCCCCAAATGTTTCAGTGTCCCCATGTCTCCCAGTGTCTGTGTCCTAGTGTTTCAGTGACCCCATTTCTCCCAGTGTCCCCATGTCTCTGTGTCCCCGGGTCTCTAAGTGTCCCTGGGTCTCTCAGTGTCCCCATGGCTCTCAGTGTACCCAATATCATAGTGACATGGGGACACTCTGAGACTTTTTTTTTTTACACACTACTCTTAGGTTTGCCACCTGATTGGTATTTTACTGGCACAGCCGGTATTTGAGGCTGCCTGGCCATATGCCAGTATTGCAGTAATACCGGCTATACAAATGCAGGTCATTTTCTCAGAATAAATGGAAATTACTCTGCAATACCAGCACCGGCCAGTAGGGGTCACTGTGTGTGGAGAGAGGCAGGGATAGTAAGTTACAGAATATCCCTCTCTGCTACTCACTGATCCGTGGGGGAGCAGCTACACAGCACAAAGAGTCCAGACAGCAGCTCTACAGCTCAGGTAAGTGAGGGATGGGGGGACACAGAGACATGGGAACACAGGCACTGGGACACATGGGGACACTGAGACACATGGGGACACAGACACTTGGGGACACTGGAAAACATGGGGACAGTGTCCAAATGTTTCAGTGTCCCCATGTCTCCCAGTGTCTGTGTTCCTAGTGTCTCAGTGTGCCCGGTGTCCCCATGTCTCCCAGTGTCCCTATATGTCCCAGTGTACCCATGTCTATGTCCACAACTGTCCCCATGTCTCCCAGTGTCCCCTAGTCTCCCAGTGTCCCCTAGTCCCAGTGCCTGTGTTCCCATGTCTCTGTGTCCCTAGTGTCTTAGTGTCCCCAAATGTTTCAGTGTCCCCTAGTCTCCCAGTGTCCCCTAGTCTCCCAGTGCCTGTGTTCCCATGTCTCTGTGTCCCTAGTGTCTTAGTGTCCCCAAATGTTTCAGTGTCCCCATGTCTCCCAGTGTCTGTGTCCTAGTGTTTCAGTGACCCCATTTCTCCCAGTGTCCCCATGTCTCTGTGTCCCCGGGTCTCTAAGTGTCCCTGGGTCTCTCAGTGTCCCCATGGCTCTCAGTGTAC